TTTAGCTTGATTTGGCTGCTATGATTTTTGGAGAGAAAATCCCGTGTGTGTGAGTTGTGGTTGCCAAAGCCATGCTCTCCTGCCCGTGAGAAATGAGGAAATTTTGGTAGCTTAAGCTATGTTTTTTTAGCTTGGTTTAAGTGTAAATTAGCTTGAACTTGGTTGTTGTGACTTTGGAGAAAATCCCGTGAGATTAGCTATGGTTTTGCAAATTTGGAAGTTGAAGTTACTGTTCACGGTACTGTTCACGGTACTGTTCACGGTACTGTTCACACACTGAGGGTCAACAATTAACAGGGATTTAACTGTTTAGTTTGTAATATAAGAACAAATTTGGAGATGTCCGATCATGTGGAGATTGATAGAAATAGCACCGTGATTAGGGGTAGTGCTAAAGATGATTTCACAGTGAATTTGTGGTAGTGTGGTATTAACTTTTGGGTATTTTGATTAGATTCCTGATCGTTCTATCAACACACTGAGATCGAGTCTTCGGTTTTACGCGAGTGAGGTAAGTAAATTATGGTAAAGCCCTTCGCTTTCAAAGCATGTTTTAAATTGTTTTTGAGATGGTGGTAAGGTTTAAATTGATTTTAAATTGATTTTATTAGCACCTGAGTGTGATTAAACTGAAATGAAAGTTTTGATGATTTTTATGGGAATTTCATTGTTTTTTTGGAATTGAGTATGACTGGAATGAAAATGGGAATTTCATTGTTTTTATGGAATTGAGCATGATTGGAATGAAAATGGGAATTTCATTGTTTTTCTGGTATTGAGCATGATTGGAATGAAAATGGGAATTTCATTGTTTTTCTGGTATTGAGCATGATTGGAATGAAAATGGGAATTTCATTGTTTTTCTAGAATTGAGTATGATTGGAATGAAAACGAGAATTTCATTGTTTTTCTGAAGTTGAGCATGCCCACTGAAATTCTCCAGTTTATTTATGAAATTTGAGATTTGATTGTGAATTATGGATTTCGATTGTGAATTATGAATTTCGATTGTGAATTATGAATTTTCTGTAAATTCTGCATGGTTTTGTCTCTATATAGTCATGATTACTGACGCCCATTAGTGAGAGATGCAAACGCTAGCACATGTCGACATGTATTTTTGTAGAATTGGTTCATCCTGCCAATGGGATAATACATTGGTAATTACTGACGCCTACCAGTGGGAGTTTGTTAAACACTGGTACTACTGATGCCTGCCAATGGGCGAATACATTGGTAATTACTGACGCCTACCAGTGGGAGTTGTTAAACACTGGTACCATTACTGACGCTTACCAGTGGGAGTTTGCTAAACACTGGTACTTCTGTAACCCTGCCATGGAGTTAAACATTGGTTACTACTGTGCCCGCCAGTGGGAGGTTTATAAACACTGGCCATGACTTATAGAGACTACTACTGAATTTTCTTCTGCATTAACAATTTGTCATGAAACATTTTGTTATTAAACTGAATTTGATTCTATTTTAACGGTTTATCATTGAACGTTTTGTTATGTTAAACTATTTATCAGGCATGCCAAAGGTTTTACCCAAGGGATATTCATATTTACTTACTGAGTTATCTCATAGTTTTTCCTTGTCCACCATTTCAGGAAGCGAAGTCAAGGACGAGGAAAAACAAGGGGAGTGACGAGGTAGAAGGCTAGCCATTCTTATTGAATATAAGTTTTAGATTTTATTCTTGAGATTTTGTGATTTGAATAAGTTCCGACCCTTGTGCACTTGTGGGACCCGTTTCACGAGTGCATGGTGTCTGCCAGGTCCTTGGATTTGGGTTCTGGGGCGTGACATGAAATTTCAGCTAATAAAATTACTTTTCAGAAACCAAGGGAGAAGATGGCCAAATATATACTGGCATTGTACATTCAAGCACACATTGACAACATGCTAATAAATCAAATTTTGGTGGACAATAGTGCTACAATCAATGTGATGCCATCTTGCGTGGTATACTTGTTGGTATATCTTTCTATGATTTAATAGAAACTGATATGACAATTAGTGATTTCTGTGGTGTGGTAAATCACTCAAGAGTTATGCTAAAATAGTGGTCAAGCCAAAGCTGATAACAAAAATATGATTAATTTGCTTAAGAAAATTGTTGATGATAATCCAAGGCATTGGCATGAGTTATTGTCTGACAGACATTGGGTTTACAAAACATTACAAAGAAATATTATCTAGACAATTCCATTTTCTTCAACTTTTGGACATGAAGCTGTTACAAAGATGGGGTTGTTCCTTAAATCATTGCATACAATAGTAACATCTATTTAAAACAAAAAGCATGTTTGTTATGAATTTAGAAGAATGACATTTATTAATTATTTTTTAGACAGAAAGGCATTTTATTCAAGTGAAATTACAATAACATGAGAACATGAAATTACAACAACAAAAGAAAATGTTGAGTTTGCATTTTTCACTTATGCTCCTATGATAGAACATGCCACCTTGATTGCCATTGGAATTTCAAGCACTTCAAAAAGGAAAGGCCAACAATTGTTAGCAAGGCCATTTAAAGCAGCGCAACAATCTTTACCCAAATTTGCTGCAGTCTTACCATTCTTAATTACATCCTTTATATCTTTTAGGCAAAATGGGGCAGACACTGCAAACTTTAGACACTTGAAAATGCTGTCATCATTCATCTTAGGTGAAGTTTTTCTCATTTCTTGGGCGAGTCCCAATTGAAGAATAGATGCTACAATGCATGCCACAAGGAGGCAGAAACCAAGTGCCCTTGAGGATGCAAATTCCATGATAAATTGTTTTTGTGTTATGAAATGTTGATTGTTAAAATGAAAGTTTGATAGGATTTTATAGTGTTTTTCAAGGAAGTATTTTGTGTGTATAAAGATTTTTGGTTTAATGGCAACAAAAATCCTTATACATATAAAAAAGTGGCAACAAAAATCCAAAATTGATTTCCATGGAAACAAAATTCCTTTGCCATATTAAAAATAGGCAACTAACTTTAATCCATCCAATTTTATCCAAATCAGTTATAGCAACAAGATAACTTTTTTTGTTTTTCAAATTCTGACACTAAAAATTAAGTTGAAAAACAATGAGTAGGCCAACCTTTGACCTTTTACTTAATTAAAAAAAATTAAATTTTCATTATAAAAATTTATCAAACATCGAAAAATTTCTTGAAAGGGTGATAATATATAGAATAAATCAATTGTGTTAATCTGTGTAATTTGTGGGGTACAATGGAACAATCAAGACAATATTTTATGGGGAATTAGGATTTGCAACTTCAAGAAATCAAACTAGTGAAACGATGATACGAGAGGGAAACTTGAATTGAAATAACAGCAAAATCCTTTATAGAATCTTATAATCATTTTTCTATATTTTGTGCGTAGAGAGTACACCATTGAGGGTTCAAACATGGTTTAGTGTATGAAAGAGACTATTTTGGTCCTTTCCCATCGTGTTTTATTAAAATATTGTAATATTGGGATCCTTTCCCAATTATTTTTTTAGATATCCAAATAATAAGTACCAATCACACACAAAAATATAAAGTATATATATATGTACACATGGGAAAAGGGAAAATCAGGATGTCTTGGCATTAAATATGCGCGACAGTGTCTAATAATAGTTGCATCATGAATTTGATAAACTTATGATCCACATTATACTCAACACATTTAATGGTTGTGGTTGAACATCCTGACATTTTTAATGTAGGACGTCTTGATTTTCCCTTTTCTCATGTACACACATTTATTTAACAATATTAAATCTTCTATTATCGATAAAATGGTTATTTATTTTTGATTAATGTTAA